TAAATCATCCACAAACGGGACCATATATCGCTCCTCCAGCTTCCACTTTTAATTCATCGGTGGCAAAGCTTCACTACAAAGCGATATAGGCAGACAAGTTTAGAAATTTACACACATTTTTGAAGTCTATAGCATCATTCAAAAGGATAGAGGAGGGGAGCGGGGGAGGGCATCCTTTTTGAAATCTATCAATAGTTGAATGGTTGAAGAGGAAAACCGATAAAAGACCATTTTTTCATTCAGGAAATCCTTGCAAGCTGGTCTGTTGACAGTACAATTACAAATTTACTAATCAGCAATGGAAGAATATTCCGCCCTTTCTCAACCTTGAAATAAAATTTTACCACAAAACTTCCATAAGGGACAACCCAACATCCACATTCTTTGGAAGTTATGGAGATCTTTTGCGATTTTATTGACGTTACAGAATTATAGCTACTTACGCTTTATCTCTGTATTACTTTCGCATTTCGTTTTGTTTTTTTTATTAAATGAATGCACCATGTCAGAGTTTAGAGAAACAAATCCAAAGAGTTTCATCGGGAGTGTGAAACCGACAAATGACTGCATATGGGCACAGTGCTGGCGAGTCCATAGAGTGTCTCAGTATAGCGATAGAATTGAAAAAAGAAGAGAGTAAGTATGGTCATTTGCTTCAATTATATATCATAGCCACATCAGCTCATATTTCAACATTCTAGCAGTGGATCAATTTGGCAATATCGTATACAAAGTGGGCTTCAAGATTGGGGGTGGCATCGATCAAGATCCATCGTGTGCTCCATATAAGTATCCCGATCAGGTATACTATACGCTGCGGATGTACTTATTGGGTTGCCGCAAAAGTTTATGCGGTTTTTTTCAAAGCTAAAAGTGTTCTAAGCAACCGGCAGCTATTTTGGCGCACGTATATCATTGAAAAGAAACTTTCTCCTATAAGTTTTTTAGTGCGGTTTAATAAAAGATTTTGACTTTGTTAAACTAGATGTGATTGAAATTGCATTTCCAGAAAGCTTAAAAAACTCACCGATACCTAATTTTTCTAGATTTAGAGAATCCGTAGCCCATAGTAACACTACCTAGTAAGGTAACTGGCTATGGTAATTAAGAAATTCATTCCATACCCCACGATAAGATTTTATTGTGGGATTACGGTAGATATACGATGCAGAGTTGAATGCACTGAGCAGTCTGAAAAGTGGTCTTCTGGGGTTATCCAACATGCTAACAAAGATCATATCCATTTCACACGGTAAAGCCATTTCAAACAAATGATATGAAATCATTAAAATTTTCTTGTCCCATAGATCAGCGATTCTGATTCCCATGGTACACTCACACTTTATTTACAGTAGAGGTTCATTTTGCTAAGCGGATAACACTTTTGCGTGCCAGTTCACTAGACCATTTTTCACACAAATCGCGTTTTTGATCGCAGTAGCATAAAACTATCGTAATCCGACAGTAAGGCCTAACTTAGGGAATGGATAATTTTTATAATAGGCGTTTCGATTATCCCACAATGCGGCATTACAGCAGTGTTCAAGCTTCTTTCATGTCAAAAAAGAACCTTCGGTCGAACTTTTTTCGGTGCTT